ACAAACAAACAAAGAAAACAAATAATACAATGTCATTCTACATGCTGGATGACAGAGTCTGCTTTTATACGCGGGAAATATGAACATATTTTGATTGACAATAAAAATTACGCTAAGGATTTAAAAACATTTCCCTTTTCAAGCCTGATGCTTGTTACTGTGTGACCTTAAGGCAGATAGATGGAGCATGCAGGGAACCAATTGTTTATAAAGTGATGTCGCACTCTGCACCTTTTGAACTACAGTTTTGACTGATAATGTCTCCGTAGACGTGAAATTGCACAATCATCTTAACACGTTTCCGGCTTATTATTTGGCTTGATGCATAATGTATACGTTATATTGAGGTACAGTTTCCTGTGCGTCCTTTGTGTTCATAGGAGCTTGAATAAATGATTTAGTTTCAAATTTCGATAAAGTGATGTACCCATTGTTGTTATTCAATTTAATGTACCGCATAGATTGAACACAATTAATTTCACATGAGACTTCCTTGCCAGGCGTAAAGTGTCTTCACAGATAATGGATTCTTGATGGTAAGTTGTACAAGCCTGATAACATAACAACCGACAACAAAGACGGAGGTTATTGTTGGCAATGGAAGGGTTTTTCATTCTCTCCTTAAGTTTCTGATTGAAAGGGGCTTATAAGAGGTTTGAATTAATAATTACTACTGCATGCCAATTAGGAGACAAACTTAGCGTGTTTTGAAATGTTAAAACACAGGAGGTTCATCTCTATTCTAGCATGTCAGCTCTCTCAGACCGTTCCGACCGGGGACACGGGTAGCGAAAAACGTAACTGATATTAAAGATTAGTTGATGGACTGACGTCCACGAGCAACACCATAAGCTCAGTAGCTAGTACACCTAAGTCAACTACAAAATACATTTAATTTTTTTTATTAGTTTCAACAAAATCAGTATTTGCACTGTCGTGTCACTTGAGTTTCTGGTTCACCGATCATCGACTGTCTGGTTTGTTTATAAGAAAAGACACCCCTTCAGTACCTGGATGCAGTTGGTCCACTGATGATAAACAAGTGAAAATGACTGATACTCATAAATGACAATGAAATAACATTTGAATAAAAAATTGTGAAATCTACCAAGCTTTCTTTCTTGTTACATGGGTGATACCATTTTACTTAATCAAGGATACAGGGTACTAATTACTGATGCAACCAGCCATAACGAGTGTTGTTTTAACGGATCTGCGTTTTGGCAGGTCTATGTTTTGGGAACATACCCTGACATCGCATGGTAGGAGTTCTGCTATACGGCGTCAGGCAATAAATACTTACCTGTGTGTGCAGATTGCGTGAATGGCTGATGCTACCGGTAGGACAGGGCATGATGTGAATGGCTGATGCTACCGGTAGGACAAGGCATGTTGTGAATGGCTGATGCTACCGGTAGTACAGGGCATGATGTGAATGGCTGATGCTACCGGTAGGACAGGGCATGATGTGAATGTCTGATGCTACCGGTAGGACAGGGCATGATGTGAATGGCTGATGCTACCGGTAGGACAAGGCATGTTGTGAATGGCTGATGCTACCGGTAGTACAGGGCATGATGTGAATGGCTGATGCTACCGGTAGGACAGGGTATGATGTGAATGTCTGATGCTACCAGTAGGACAGGGCATGATGTGAATGTCTGATGCTACCAGTAGGACAGGGCATGATGTGAATGTCTGATGCTACCAGTAGGACAGGGCATGATGTGAATGTCTGATGCTACCAGTAGGACAGGGCATGATGTGAATGTCTGATGCTACCAGTAGGACAGGGCATGATGTGAATGTCTGATTCTACCAGTAGGACAGGGCATGATGTGAATGTCTGATGCTACCGGTAGGACAGGGCATGATGTGAATGTCTGATGCTACCAGTAGGACAGGGCATGATGTGAATGTCTGATGCTACCAGTAGGACAGGGCATGATGTGAATATCTGATGCTACCAGTAGGACAGGGCATGATGTGAATGTCTGATGCTACCGGTAGGATAGGGCATGATTATCCTTTCCGCGAACACCTGGTGTCATCCCTGATGTTCAGTGGTCTATTCATATACTTGTCACAGTTATATTGCCATGTACGCCAAATGGAATCTTCGGCGTATAATCTAGATTGGTTATTCTCTATATTGACAATTTATATCGTTTTATTTAATGGTTCGAAATGATGGTTGCAAAATAACATAATTTTTAAAAAAAGATAAAATAATCCTCCATAGACATATGTTTAATTTCATCGCAACCTGCACTGATTATACTCAGCTAAAACATTTCTTGAAATCAACATGCCATAACCAATTGTAGGAGTGAAAGGTTGTAGAAATAGTGTTGCAAAATGCTCAAATAATTCATTTGTCAACCAACTAGATTAAAAGACAGGAGTTAAGTTATTTTGAAGTTGTACTTATGTGCCAGTTTGTTTGAAATAACTCTCTAACAGTTATACATATTCAGAAAGACCATCCCCCCACCCCCAAGCTCCCGACCTGGCTTAACTCGACTTACTTCCGTTATTCTTTGCAGTCCATGGCTGTCAGAATAGTTGTTCGCCGTGACCGTGTATTTACAAATTGCATAAATCAGAGGTCAATCCCGATCTGTTGTTCACCATCAGCCTGATAATTTACAGGTGGATGGAGCCTGTCGGTGCAACCATTGCACCTACTGAAGTATGTCTGAACGCCGCCGTCTATAGCTGAAGACGAGCCTGTCCTGCACGACACTGGCTGGTGACAGACTTTTGTGACACAGTGTTTAGTGTATGTTTTACTTAATTGTATGTGTACTCCATCAATGTCTCAAAACTTGTTGTCACCAAGTGCTTATGCAGTGTACATGTGACAAAAATATCACTGTGTGTTCCAATGTCGAACGTATACAATATCTACTCGGTGTTTTTTATATGCATCGATATGTAAGTGAGTGAGTGAGTATGGTTTTACGCCGCTTTTAGCAATATTCCAGCAATGTCACGTCGGGGGACACCACAAATGGGCTTCACACATTGTACCCATGTCGGGAATCGAATCCAGGTCTTCTGCGTGACGAGCGACGCTTTAACCACTAGGCTACCCCACCGCCCCGCATCGATATGTAGACTATCGATATATTCACACGCACGTTTTTGTGCGAAAAGGCCTATGCATTTTGAGGTCTCGACTGCCATTAGATACCTGATTTGAATTGTATTTGTACCAATCAGAATCGATCATTCTTCTGTCATGGTGGGACCGCCTCCGTGGTCTTGTGGTAGAGCGTCCGCCCGGAGAGCGGAAGGTCCAGGGTTCGATCCCGGGCCGCGTCATACAAAAAGACGTTAAAATATTGTACTTGTTGTTACCCTGTCTGGCGCTCGGCATTAAGGGGCTAAAACAAGGACTGGTCGGCTCGGAGTCAGTATACTGTGTCTGAGTGGGGTATTCATGTTAAACTGCGGCATGGTATCTCAGTGAGCTAGCACTATAAATCGGCATCAGTCCGGACTAGTACAAGCAGCCACACACACACATACACGTGCATGCACGTCGCTATATAAGTGCAATAATCTTGGACGCGACGTTAAACCCAATTTCACCTCACCTCTGTCATGGTGGAATTACAGATGGTGTACATGTACCTAGACAGTAAACAACTAGACAATCAACTTGTTTATGCTTGTGTTTATGTCCTTAAACAAACAACTTGGTGACCCTGATACAGGGACAAGAAGTTCACACGAAACTGCTGTAACTAGAAAAGTCGCTGCGATGCAGAACGTTCCAGGAGTATTGCTGGACAAAATGTCTCCTGACTTAACGCAACCGGATTCGTGCATCTGCAAGACACACATTCAAATCCTGTGTAGCTGCAAGACCGGTTCCTTTGCACCTGCAAGCCCTGATCATGTGCAGCTGTAATACCTGATCCTGTACAGCTGCAAGACCTGATCCTGTACTGCAGCAAGACCCGATCCTGTGCAGCAAGACCCGATCCTGTACAGATGAGAGACCTGATCCTGTACAGCTGCAAGCCCTGATCCTGTGCATCTGCAAAACCTGATTCTGTACAGCTGCAAGATCTGACCCTGTACTGCGGCAAGACCCGATCCTGTGCAGCTACAAGACCCGATCCTGAGCAGCTACAAGAACTGATCCTGTGCAGCTATAAGACCCGATCCTGTGCAGCTACAAGACCCGATCCTGTGCAGCTACAAGACCCGATCCTGTGCAACTACAAGACCCGATCCTGTTCAGCTACAAGACCCGATCCTGTACAGATGAGAGACCTGATCCTGTACAGCTGCAAGATCTGATCCTGTGCATCTGCAAAACCTGATTCTGTACAGCTGCAAGATCTGACCCTGTACAGCTGCATGACATATCCCGATTCTGTGCAGCTTCAAGACCTGATCATGTGCAGGTGCAAGACCTGATCCTGTACAGCTGCATGACATATCCCGATTCTGTGCAGCTGCAAGACCTGATCATATGCAGCTGCATGACATATCCCGATCCTGTGCGGCTGCAAGACCTGATCATGTGCAGCTGTAAGGCCTGATCATGTGCAGCTGCAAGAGCTGATCCTGTGCAGCTGCAACACATCTCGGTGGAACGCTGCCAGAAGATCCGATCCTGTGCAGCTGCAAGACCTGACCATGTGCAGCTGCAAGACCTGATTATGTGCAGCTGCATGACATATCCCGATCCTTTGCAGCTGCAAGACCTGACCATGTGCAGCTGCAAGAGACATGACCTGATCCTGTGCAGCTGCAAGACCTGGTCCTGTACAGCTGATCCTGTGGAGCTGCTAGACACATATCCCAATCCTGTGCAGCTGCAAGACAGAAGCTTTGCGTCCCTTAGCAACCCATTTTATGGCAATAGTGCTGAGACATAAGCTTCTTTGCTGGTCCCGGAGACGTACTGATACGCCAGCCACAGTCGCCAACGTACCGGGATGACGTCACGGCTAACTTCAACACGACAATAAACAAGATCCTTGTCTTTTGGAATGATATTTATTCTCATCTTTATACACGGTTTGCTCATCACAATATATATATACAATGTATATGTATATATTCTGAAGTGAATCAACGTTCTCATACAACGAGACACTGTACATTGCATTTATTTCCTTTTTTTATATTTGATATATAAGTTACGTCACTAATATCGTAATTTAACGCCATTAATGAAACAGGGCTTGTTTAAGTCCTTGCAATTCCGCTGTAACAGATATGGGTTCGATAGAATGTAAACATCAGACACGAACAGGACAAGTTTCATCACAGGTAAGACTTATTGCTGGAGGGAGCCCTCACTCTTTCCTTCTTCTCGAGGGAGATGCAGACACAAACATTATCAAGAGAATACCAGGAGAATACCAGGAGAATACACTAAGCAGCATATGCTTACCAGAGCCAATCTGCTGTAACTAATGACGTCATCTTTATTCTCTTATCAACTCATTTTACGAGCGAGATAATTAGGGGTCCATTAATTCCATATTAAACTATTTCCTGTGAGTCTATTTTCTGTTACCAGCGGTTCCTAAAGGCCTCTGCTCGGACAGAAGAGGTGTCCTGGTGACGTCATCAATAATGATCAATGGTCATAAAGTTACTCCATCTTGCCAAACACCTCACGTACTTTATGACCTTTCACCCGAAAAGTGACGTCATCCAGTTCAGTGTTCAATGAGGTGACGTCATTATGATTCACAGAAGAGGCATGTGCTACAAAACTAGAATGATGCTGACAGGATGATGAAGACGGAGGCGGAAGGGGGATAATTCTGTAATAGATGGTGACGTCACTTTTCTCTCAGCGCCATATGTGGTTAACACAGCACCTGCAATATAATAATCAATATCAGAATCAGGATAAACAAGGACTACACCAAACCAGTTATCTCTTAACCAGCCGTCAAGAGAGTGTTAAATCTCTCTTAAATTTAACCACATGGTTATATTATTTCTGAAAAGCATGGTTATTTTGTAACGGTTATTTAACCCACCTACCGTTCTGACTATTTCTTAATCCCTTGGTTATCTTAAAACCAACAGAGCTGGTTCAGTAGAGTGTCTTAAAGTATTTAACGGTTGGTTTGGAGTTAACAGGGTTAAACAGGTTTTGATAAACTGGTCTCATTTGTCTATATAATAAGCGCACCAATGGCACAGATAGCACGTGCTTTCAAACCAGATATATACATCTAAACCGTCGGGCAAGATAATGTATACACCCATGTTTGATGATGGCTTAAAATGAAACAAACAAGAAATGGTTATTCAATGGTGATGTATCTGATACGGGTATCATAGTTATGTTTTAGACCAAACTTCGCAGTGTTCCGGGCACTGTTTTCAGAACAGTAACGGCTTGATAAGGTTTGTAATCTTTCGGTCAAATCCATTTTCAAAGTGTATACTTTCTTTTGTCCTTCTGTTTCAGTGGCATATCCTTGCAAAGCTAGAAATGCATAGCAAATGCCGTCATATACAAGGTGAAATTCGGCATTAGCTTTAAAACGAGTATACGTCATGATATCAATCCACAACTTCATTGGTCAGGAAAGCGTTAGGGTTGTGATTACTGGAAGACAGCTAAAGTGAGTACATGGGACGCGTTTTAACACCAAACACCTTGGACATAAACTGACACAACTGTGTCCCCATTACTCTGTTTAACAGGCAAATGGATGAAGACAAGGCCCGTTCAATGTTTTACAGAAGTCGCTGCAGCAAGGTGCGGCTGGACGAAAGTGTGCATACTCCAGGGTGTTTGGGTCAACAAATGTCACGTTGCGTTATCAGGATCTGTACGACAGAGAACACGTTAGTGGATCGTGCACGCATAAGTTTGTTAAGAAACCATTGACATGAGATATATATGTTCCATTTGTTTGAATAATTCACGTGTTGAATCTTTATAGGAACATTACGGCCATATTCTTTTATTTGCGAGTGACAGCTACCCCGGTAAGTATTGATGTTAAAACGGGGACGGTGTCCAAATTGTTCTAGACATCAAAAGAATCATGCTAATGTGGTGAATTATTGATAAGCCATGAAAGATATTATTGCAGATCAAGGAGTGTTCCTCTGCTGAATGATAACCTTAGATACAGACTCCCATAGGACATAACGCTCACCTTGGTCGCCAACTCGGTGACTATTGAGCCACATATAAACTGTCATTGTATATTCCCGGCCAACTGTTCCGTCATGTAACTTTTGTCATGGTGAGTGGTCAAACACAATATGGACGAGGTTCCTAAGTTGAAATATAAGACTGGGACCGTTCTTAACCAGAAACTCTCAGGGGAGATAACCCGAGTTCATAGATGCACCGGATGAACGAGCGAAGGGGTGGAGGTGGGAGTGAGTTCTTGAGTGAGTGGGATACATAATGCGGTGAGTGGGTGTGTGAATGAGACGATGTATATACATGTATGTAGAAGATGAATAAGTGTGGTGAAAGCTGTATTTGGCTTGAAGACACCACAGTGGCTGTGCAGAGTTGTCTCCCTTAGGCGTACCAGAAAACTATGGTGATCGGTTCGAATCCCAGATTCATCATGATCACATGTCTAGGTTTGTCTGTACCATACCCGTGGTCATGGGTTTCACGAAAGTTGTAAACATCTAAGACCTGCATCACTAAGGGCTTTCCTCCAAGCTGACATGCCGTGATTTTTAGTGAAATACAAAGCGGTGTTAATTGCTCACTCACTCACTCACTCATTCAGTGACTGTCCGACTCACTCACTCACTCTACAGAGAGTCGAAATCCGAACATTCATCTCAGAATATTTATCGTATATCAGCCTGTTTCCCCACTGCAATCGTCACTTCACAGACGTCACTTCACAGACGTCAGGTGGGTATTTAGCACGTGAAGTATCATGTTATGGCAACGTTCATATGGCCTATTCTGTTTCTTGCAGGGCAACAGAATACATATCACGTGGGCATTTATAACTGTACAACAATAGGTTATACAAACCTACGTCATAGTGACCAACATAGTGACCAACATAGTGATCAACATAGTGGCCAACATAGTGGCCAACATAGTGGCCAACATAGTGACCAACATAGTGGTCAACATAGTGGCCAACATGGTGACCAACATAGTGACCAACATAGTGACCAACATAGTGACCACCATTATGACCAACATACATGTAGTGGCCATCAAAGTGACCAACATAGGGACCAACATAGAGGCCAACATAGTGGCAAACATAGTGACGAACATTATTACCAACATAGTGGCCAACATAGTGACGAACATATAGACCAAAAAAGAGGCCAACATAGTGGCCAACATAGTGACCAACATTGTTACCAACATTGTGACCAACATTGTGACCAATATAGTGGCCAACATAGTGGCCAACAAAGTGGCAAACATGGTGACCAACATAGTGGCCAACACAGTGACCAACATAGTGACCAACATAGTGACCAACATTGTGACCAACATAGTGACCAAAATAGAGGCCAACACAGGGACCAACATTGTGACTAACACAATGACCAACATAGAGGCCAACATAGTGGCCAACATAGTGACCAACATTTTGACCAACATAGTGACCAACATAGTGACCAACATTGTGACCAACATTGTGACCAACATAGAGGCCAACATAGTGGCCAACATAGTGACCAACATTGTGACCAACATAGAGGCCAACATAGTGGCCAACATAGTGGCCATCATAGTGGCCAACACGGTGACCAACATAGTGACCAACACAGGGACCAAAATTGTTACCAACAAAATGACTAAGATAGAGGCCAACATAGTGACCAACATAGTGACCAACATAGTGACCAACATAGAGGCCAACACAGGGACCAACATTGTAACCAACAAAATGACCAAGATAGAGGCCAACTTATCGGCCAACATAGTTGCCAACATAGTGACCAACATAGTGGCCAACACAGTGACGAACATATAGACCAACATAGTGGCCAACATAGTGACCAACATAGTGACCAACATAGTTGCCAACACAGTGACCAACATAGTGGCCAACATAGTGACCAACATTGTGACCAACATAGTGACCAAAATAGATGCCAACACAGGGACCAACATTTTGACTAACACAATGACCAACATAGAGGCCAACATAGTGGCCAACATAGTGACCAACATTGTGACCAACAAAATGACCAACATAGTGGCCAACATAGTGACCAACATAGCGGCCAACATGGTGACGAACATATAGACCAACATAGTGGCCAACATAGTGACCAACATAGTGATCAACATAGTTGCCAACATAGTGACCAACATAGTGGCCAACATAGTGACGAACATATAGACCAACATAGTGGCCAACATAGTGACCAACAAAGTGACTAACATAGTGGCCAACAAAGTGACCAACATAGTGGCCAACATAGTGACCAATATTGTGACCAACATAGTGGCCAACATAGTGACCAACATAGTGACAAACATAGTGACCAACATAGTGACCAACATAGTGGCCAAATGACAAGGAATGACAGGGTCTCTTGTAGGCCCAAAGGATCAACATCCGTTAAGAATTTAGCTAAACAGAAATTACTTTGAAAGTTATCAGGCCTGTACAGATCAATGAGAAGAAGAATATTTTAATTTCAGCACTTGCAAGTTCAGAACGTAATAACAATACCTGTGTATGTATTGGCTGACTTTAGAGGTTGTCAGGAAGCATTTATTAAGGTCATTAACCCAGGCTAACGGAGACCACGGAGCCCCAAAACTACCCATTTCGCTCCTATTATCCGTTCTTATATACATGATCAAATTCGAATATTGAAAGCCTAAGTAAGATAAAATGCTGCCGTAACTTAACCTTGGACAGTTATTTCAAATTGGCCAAAACTTATAGTCCCTCGTCATACTTCGTCCTTTGGAGAAATGATGTTTTATTTCTTATTTATGCTTTCGACAGCTTAGTTGCAAATCATCAGTGGAGTTGTAGACAGAAATTCTCAAAACACAAACCTAATGTGCTGTTTAAGCAAGGCGTTAAAGTGTCTTTTCTCCCCGCTCTGTGCCCCATCATCGATCTAGACATTGATGATCGTTGCACGAGTGACACTGACACGTTGTCCGTGTGTAACGACCTACTAATTAACTTCTAGAATGATTTTGTATTATAACATCAGATCTAGGAGACAAACACACAGTCATCTGAAGGGGCGGTCGGGTAGCCTAGTGGTTAAAGCGTTCGCTCGTCACGCAGAAGACCCGGGTTCGATTCCCGACATGGGTACAATGTGTGAAGCCCATTTCTGGTGTCCCCGCCGTGATATTGCTGGAATATTGCTAAAAGCGGCGTAAAACCATACTCACTCACTCACTCACTCACTCACAGGCATCTGAAGGACCCGAATCAAGCTGGGTATGGAAGCCAAATGTACCGAATCTAGTTCTCCTTCAACGTGAGAAGTTCCATCTGCACAATGTCCAGACACCCTACCCTAACTGCCGTTATCTACATCACAACGTTTATCTATCTCGCCATCCTGATCTTGTTAAACAAATATAACATTTATCCATTATTAATTACTTATCATATTAGTGTTAGTTAGATTGATTAAAGAATACACAATTTAGTAGAGAAACCTTTGGTCAGCGTGCCGCGTCCAAGTTAGCATTGATATAACGATCCTCTCAATCGCACAAAACCTGCTTCCTCACACTGTTTGGTATTTACCTTTGGACATCCTATAGTTGGTCAACAGCTTGTCATTCGTCGTGACAGGGGCCCTGGGACAACCCTTACCATATTGACGAAAGAAACATATATTTTTCTTATCGATTTGGCCATGGCTAATAATGTCATTTAATATTGGTGTAAATATTTACATATGCGTGGGATATAACCTTGACCTTGAGTGAGCCAACAGAGAGACAATGTGGGAGGTGTAGCCAGGTATAGGGAGTTGGTACACGCCCAAGTAGACTGGTATATAATAAATATGGTATACGTCCAAGTAGACTTATACAATAAATATGGCACAAGTTCATTTAGACAAGTATATGAATATGGTATACGACCATGTAAACTGCTATATAACTATGGTATACGTTCATGTAAACTGGTATACAACAATAGTATACGTCCATATAAACTGGTATATAAATATGGTATACGTCCAAGTAGACTGTTATATAATAAATATGGTATACGTCCATGTAACTGGTATATAAATATGGTATACGTCCATGTAAGTGGTATATAAATATGGTATACGTCCAAGTAGACTGATATATAAATATGGTATACGTCCATTTAGACTGGTATATAAATATGGTATACGTCCATTTAGACTGGTATATAAATATGGTTTACGTCCATATAGACTGGCATATAAATATGGTGTACGCCCAAGTAGACTGTTATATAAATATGGTATACGTCCTTGTAGACTGATATATAAATATGTTATACGTCCTTGTAGACTGTTATATAAATATGGTATACGTCCTTGTAGACTGGTATATAAATATGTTATACGTCCTTGTAGACTGTTATATAAATATGGTATACGTCCTTGTAGACTGATATATAAATATGTTATACGTCCATGTAGACTGGTATATAAATATGGTATACGTCCTTGTAGACTGATATATAAATATGTTATACGTCCAAGTAGACTGATATATAAATATGATATACGTCCATGTCGACTGGTATATAAATATGGTATACGTCCATGTAGACTGTTATATATATATGGTATACGTCCTTGTAGACTGGTATATAAATATGGTATACGTCCTTGTAGACTGATATATAAATATGTTATACGTCCAAGTAGACTGATATATAAATATGATATACGTCCATGTCGACTGGTATAAAAATATGGTATACGTCCTTGTAGACTGGTATATTAATATGGTATACGTCCTTGTAGACTTAATGTCATATACGTCCATGAAATCTGCTTTATAGATATGATATACGTCTATGTAGACTTGTATACAGATATGATATACGTCCATGTAGACTTGTAGATTAATGTCATATACGTCCATGCAAACTGGTATATAAATATGGTATACGTCCACGTAGACTGGAATATAAATATGGTATACGTTCATGTAGGCTGTTATATAAATATGGTATACGTTCATGTAGGCTATTATATAAATATGGTATACGTTCATGTAGGCTGTTATATTAATATGGTATACGTTCATGTAGGCTGGTATATATATAAATATGATATATGTCCATGTGGACTATTAAATGAATATGGTATAGACCATTTAGACAAGTATATAAATATGGTATACGTCCATTTAGACAAGTATATAAATATGGTATACGTCCATCCATGTAGACTTGTATATAAATATGGTAAACGTCCGTGTAGACTGGTAGATGAATTTGAGTGAGTGATTGAGTACTGTTTTACGCCGCTTTTAGCGATATTCCAGCAATATCACGACGGGGGACACCAGAAATAGGCTTCACACATTGTACCCATGTCGGGAATCGAACCCGGGCCTTCGGCGTGACGAGCGAACGCTTTAACCACTTGGCTACCCGACCGCCCCAGATGAATTTGATGTACGCCCAGGAACTATAGCATATACAATCTGAAAAGTCAGCAAGGCAGTGTACTTAAATTTGACATGAGTCCATGTGGCATTGTGGGCGCATCTGTTATGCGTGCACACAATCAATGATGGAATATTGCTTAAGGCTGCATCGCCAATTTTACATAGGTTCAATATGATGCCTCGTGATATATAAATATAATATAATATTTGCATGGCACGAATGCTCTTTATGCTATTTACTTTCTACACGAGCGGAGCTATCATAACATGGGTCGGTGTAGCTAGCGGATCCATACAAGCCAGGAATAATACAGGTTAAAAGCCGCAATATTTGATAAATCATCATGTCTGAATTATGCACATATTCTATTTGTTATCCGTAATTATTTATCGTATCAAAAACGAAATAAATATATTTATTGAAGGTCGCCTTTTCCAGGTTTAGACTGCGGACGTTTTCCTCCCAGCAGTCCTTTCTATACGTAGACTGTCACTAATGGGACAGCCGTCTATTATAGACTTAAGGGAATTATGTCAATCAGCTGTACATCTGCTAAATCAATATGGTTTCTCTAAAACAATGGTCTTTTAGAATAGGTAATGCGGGGATGGATATACCACTGCTGGCCTAATGTACCGATGAGGAAGTTTTGCACGAAAACAATCAATATGGAAGGTAAATCTGGATTATCTGGCGCAAAAATATCAAAATGAGCTTCCATACATTTATAATGCTATCATGAGAACTTCATGGGCTGTAGTGATCAAACAGTGCCAGTATAGTGCATTTCGAGAAAGAAAATTTACGCAATACACGTAGTTGGGATATCTATATCATAGGTTATGCAATAGAGATTGGATTTAGCGTTGTTCAAATGTGGATAAATACGGACCAGGTATTTCCGCATGTCAAGTATGCTTTTAAGTCAACCATGACTTAATGATGATGATTATTACCGTTGTGTTGCAATAATCGGTTGGACAGCAATAAATATAAGGTAATTGATATGTATTTCGAAATAGAATGCAAATTGTATGTCACACTTCTTGAAATAATAAAACGTTCCAAATTGTGTTCCGCGTCAACTAAAAACGGATGTGGACACAACAATTATTCGTACAAAGGATATCGCACATGACAGTCTTGATTCCTTGAACAGCAAAATAGACATATGACCACATATTAACTTTGATTAATGGTTGATTTCTTTCGCCAAATTATAGTTTTAACAACGGTTCAACAACGCTCCGAGCTTAGAGTGCAACTTTTTCTTTTGTGCTTTAGTGAGGTGTTTGCAATAACAGTCAAATCAAATTGGTCAAAGATACATTCAAGGCCCCAGTAAAGCTTTCAAAAAGTAATATGGTAGATATGTGGAAGACATTTCCAAATTTGACGCATCAGTGACAAAAATAATGTCCGATGCCATTCCCTATTTTGACTTGTACCATATGTTCCAGTGTTTTGTTTCAGGTGAAAAATTGACCTGCCATTGCATGTGTTTGTGACGGGTGCCACGGATGGGGCAGGATACGCTCACCTTTTCGCGAACAATTGTTATCATCACTATTTGATAGTGATTCATAAACACATGCTCATGATATAGTCAGAATTGTACAATCGACTCTGCTTTTAGCAGAGATTTCTATTGGATATGGAAAAGGTTTTGTCGCGTTTATTTACCCCCACTCGTTGTATATAACATATATCCTTTCAAGCACCCTGACACACCGATCCCCGTCGCTACACCTCACGTGTCCATCTCGGGAATGTTTCTCTTCCTGAGGCACGTTCTTTTATTGCGCCCAGGAGATAATCAACCCGTGGAAGACACAATTATATGAATGATGATCTTGACCTACATGACACTAGACGACTACATGTACATGCACGGGTGCAAATATGTCTCAAATAGTCCACACCCTCTTGTACCCATACTGCACGTTTGTCTTTGAAGCTAAAGATATGTTTCTGGTAATGTTTCCCTCTACAAAATACTTTCCTCCAATATAATCTGAGGGACAAAAATATATTATTTTTATAAAATTGAAAATTGAAAGAACTGCTATTAAATTTGATTATGTCTATTTAACCATCACTCATTCTCTTGCTAGGTAACAAGTTAACATAAACTGGTTCAGTGAACACTGGGGGAAAGAAATACATTTGCAACCACACGACTTCTACCATGTTTGAAATGAATATTTATGCGGAAAACAGAAAAGTTACTGATTTTCAAAGATTTTCCAGGTGTCTAAGATACCAATCAGCAGATATGCATCATGCAATTTTTAAAAGGTTATTATATTTAAGAAAATGTAGAAGTATTCTTTGAGTGCTGACTAAACGCCAGTAAAGTTCGTTTTGGGGATATATATTGCCAACGTAAGATATTTTCAATTGCAAAACAAAACATGAAAAAAAAATCAAAATCGATTTGGGACAATCTCCAGAATCACTTAATTTCCATTACTTATAAGATGCTTATACCAACTGTTAATCCCAGTTGCAATGCACATGGGCTGTCAGCTCAACCTGAACGATCTGTGCAACCATGTCACTTCTCATTATTACTGTTGTTTATAATCCGTTGTTTGTTTGTTGTTGTTTAACTCGACACTCAGCAATATTCAAGCTATATGACGGCAGTATGTAAATAATCGAGTCTGGACCAGACAATCCAGTGATTGACATCATGAGCATCGATACACGCAATAGGGATACGACGACAAGTTTCAACCAAGTAAGCGAGTCTACCCAACCAATTTCGTTAGTCGCCTACTTACGACAGCATAGTCGTCTTTTACGGCAAGTATGGATCGCTGAAAACCTATAGTACCCCGGATCTTCACAGGTCCATTGACTTATCCGTGCCAGATGACCTTGGATATTTAAGCCTTGATCCAAAGACGAAGAATAAGAAGTTAGGGCTAGTCAAGAACCACTGCCACTTTGGGCTCCATGTTCATACCGTACATACAGGAACCGCATATAGGAACATGCAAATAATCTTATCAACGTCACGTGTGCCTGCAATGTACGTACTTTTCCCTTGTTGGTTTCTATTGCTCCCCAGGTTATCTATTACTTCTACACAACTACCGTTGGTTTCTCCCAAAATACCCTATCACATTTCTGAAGGAAATGTCGTTTAAGACGACACAGTTGGTAATTTAATTGTGAGACGTCTACCCCTTTTTGTAAACCCCATGAGTAATGATATGCTGCTGTCGGGCCAAGGATCATTATCCGTGCGAGAATCGAACCCACAATCAGCGAATCCTGGCACGACTAATGGATTCAACTACGTCTTAGCACAAAAGGTAAACTGTTTCCCGTATCAAAAGATAAGAAGCGAGTCAACACTACAGAACCTTTGTGATAAAAGAAGATAATTGTTCAAATCCTTTGTTGCGGTGATCATTACGTTACTGTGCCCTCCTTTAACTAAAGGTAAATGTTTAAATTCCTTTTACGTATTAGCCAAAATAAGTCCTCCGTGAACTAAACATAACTGGTCATATCCTCTTTTATGCCATTACCCGAATGTTTGTTCCTTCATCTAGAAATATATTTTTAATGTCCTTTCGTCTTCACCAAAATAAATCTTCCTTCATCTCGAGGTAAATATTTAATCCTTTGTTAAGCCATTACCTTAATGTGTTCTCCAGGATCTAGAGGTCATCGGCGATGCCCTGGAGCTTGGACAACCAGTTGGAGTACAGCGCCCTCTTGCGGCCCCGACAGCCGTCGAAGCTGTTGCAGAACAGCCTCTTCCTGATGTCGTCCGGTAGCCGCATCACTCGCTGAGCCACGGCTTTTGTCGGAGCCTCAGAACGTTTACCGGCATTACCGCAGCCGAAGTAATTACAAAATGGCCGCTTGCCGAGGACTGGGGGATGTTGTCGCCTTCTTCCCCGGAACCTTCCGCCACATCCGGTGAAGCCGTTGCAGAAGACACGTTTCGTCAGACCGTCAGTGTTCCCTGGTGTTCTGACCTGGTCTGAGGACTCGCTGGACAGTCTGTCGAACAGGGTAGCCCAGGCTCGGGGCAAGTTTAACCGCCCATCCATAAGGCGGCCATCGGGGGGTAGGGACAGAGGATCCGACAAAATGTGGGACTCGGATGATTTGCCCTGTGATAAAGAGAAATAAATGTGTTGTATTAGGTCCAGAAGAGCCGGGTAAGAATGATCTTTATCAACCCATGGTTTTCGTAAGATGCTACTAAAGGGATTGGGCGGTCAGGCTAGCTGACATAGTTGATGCATGTCATCGTATCCCAATTGCATAGCACGATGCTTTGATAATAATCACCAGATTGGCAGGTCCAGACTCAGTTATTTACAGACCGCCGTCATATAGCTGGAATATTGCTGAATGCGGCGGTAAACAAACAAAAAGGAACATTACACCAGACACCCCATAACATAGCTATAGTTATATATACACATGTTTCGCAATACGATCTCCATGCTTGTCCGGATATGCACAGGTCAGGTCTAAGACTTGTATTTTTTATCATTAAAAACAAAAATGGTCTTCCACCTACATCAGGACCTGACCTCCTGCCCCGGGACCTCCCGCCACATCCGGTGAAGCCGTTGCAGAAGACGCGTTTCGTTTGAGCGTTTGCATCCCCGGATGTCCTGACCTGGTCTGAGGACACGCTGGACAGTCTGTCGAACAGGGTGGCCCACCCGCGGGGCAAGTTTAGTCGCCCATCCATAAGGCGGCCATCGGGGGGTAGGGACAGAGGATCCGACAAAATGTGGGACTCGGATGATTTGCTCTGTAACAAACAGAAAGAGATGTGTTGTGTTAGGATCAGACACAAAAGGACATGGCCACAGTCATGTTTCCACATGGGTGGCAATATTTACCTAAGCTTACCCCCGACCAATATTCACAATTTTAAGGTGTATATGGTGTCTCACATCATGACCTAACCTGAGATTTGATCACTGAGACATTTAATGAGTATCAACCCCACAACATATCCACAGTAGGTTGTACATACTGGAAGAGATGAAAAAATGAATAGTTGACCTTTCCTGGATGCAGTCATTCGGATTTTGCAGCTACATCTTTATACGAGTTTGACGAAGTGTTACCTTACGGAAACTTTCAATTTTGTTGTAAGATAAACCATTTCCATAATCAAACGAAATCTCTGAGTAAAGTCTGTACGGTTCCGACTGAATATAGAGTTGTAAGAAATAGAAGATGTAATGCTTTGAGGAGAAGCTACCTGTGGCACATAGTCTTCCTCCAGGTCGTCTGACGCGCTGACAGCTAACAGCGGGAGAAGCAGAAGACAGAGCAGACGACACGATGGCATTTTGTAGAAAACTGCGTGGCACTTCTTCCTGTCCTCAAACACGATCCGGCGAGAGATACTGAAATGGCCATTAAAATAGAGGCTGTTAATGTAAGCTAGCTTCAACCTGAGAACGGAATTGAATCAGATCGGACCAAAATGAAATTAAAGACTACGAGCTTGCTTGGAGGTAATTGACGGCGTACAGACAGTGAGGGACACTGTCATGGTGTCCTCATCCTACTTGCTGACTAAATTCGATGTGATAACACTCCGACAAGTGTCAGCTCCAGACACAGCCGTATAAACTGTGGGCAGTCGAAGAAGTCGTAACAACAGACAACGACGTCGTCACTCCGTCAGCCTGACTGGGGGAATACCTTCACAATTTATCAAATTAACTCAACTGTCCACTTGTCTTAGTTTGGTGCGACCAAGGTACCCAGTTTGTCGAGGATATTCTGTATATTGACTTAAGGACCCTCCCAGGCTTTCATATGTTGAAAACTGATTAGCACAGCGCCAGCGCACATCAGCGTCAAAACCACCTCAACATACACGCGGCTAAAAACTTTTTTTGTGAGCTGCAACTATTGATTAAATCTCTTAATCAATCCAGCTAGGTGTCGTTGCTTCATTGAAGGTATCAATTATGCAAGTCAATTATGCAAGGAAATCGCACTGTCTACCTCTTCTCAGTTTCTACTGTTTTCGTTTAGTTTCTTTGGCGTTTCTGTTTTCTTTTAAATTTTGTACAGCATTTCATATTTATTTTATGTATTTATCAATTACAGACACTACTGGGTTATTTTAGAAAGTCACTTACGGATAATTATAGTGAAAGTGTGGGTAGGGTTTTAAGCTGTTTTAGCAATATTCCACCAATATAACGAAATGGGCTTCACACATTGTACCCATGTTGGGAATTGATCCGGGTCTTCGGCATGAGTAGTTAGAGCGTTAACCATCTAGGCTACCCTTGCTTTGTTGGCAACGGTTCATCTAACTGTGCAGTTTCAGCATATGATAAAAGTGATATAGCAGGAGTATAAAATATACGATAAAGGTAAAATAACAGGAGTATATAATATATGAGCAATGAACAATAACCAAACGTTTAAGGCAGGCATTTCGCTTTACACTCAAACGTCGCTGGTTCTACCCCACCACTGTCAACCCGGCTCCAACCAACCCCCACAAAAACCCACAAAAACAAAAACAACAACAACAACAACAACAAAAAACACACCCCCCACCCCCCAACCCATACTCATTTCATTGATAACAACCTTCCACGTCGTCACTTGGCACTTAATGTATAGTTTGTATTCGACGTGCAGCTGGAAAAATAGCCCTGGGCCCTATAAAAAGATATGCCTGATGTTTATCAATCCATGTTTTAAAGATTTAAGAGGAAGTACACTTAGCACAACGTAGCATCATGAGCGCGATCTTAATGTTTTTGTGGTTGATCGTATCCCCTTTTTAAAAGGGAAATGGACCTTTTTGTCAAAGGACATGATAAATATTGCTATTGTCGTGACGTTTTTAATTTAAATCAAGATAAAACAGTTATTTCGCGACAATTATTTTCAAATCTATCTACACTATATTGGATATATATCTTCCACTTTTGCAAATTGTTCGTCAGCTTTCCCCATTAAACCCTCCTGGTAAATCTTGTTTTAAACTTTCACTGATGCAGTAAAAGCCTCATGAACGTGTTTCTTTGAACTTTATAACACGCAGTAAAAGTCAAGTGTGTTTCTTTCAACAAATTAACGATTAGAAAAGGATATGTATTTGGCACAAAATAACTTACAATTTGGCGATGGGTGAGTTAGTGATATAATGTTTAGAATCACGTTTAAAGGTCCCCAGACAAATGAAGATCCGGGTTAGAATAGGTCTTCAGCAACCCATGCTTGCCGTAAAAGGCGACTATGCTTGTCGTAAGAGGCGGCTAACGGGATCGGGTGGTCAGGCTTGCTGACTTGGTTGATGCATGTCATCATCCCAATTGCGTGGATCGAAGCTCATGATGTAAATCACTGGATTGTCTGGTCCAGACTCGATTATTTACAGACCGCCGTTACATAGCTTGAATATTGCTGAGTGCGACGTTAAAGAACAAATTCACTCACTTTAAGGTCCCCAGGGTATATCATACATGTGGCAAATAAATCATACTTCCTTCTATACATACCATCCAAGGCGACATCATCTCCGTAACAAGTAAACAATCATACCATGATATAACATCACATGTGCCTTTTGTACGTGGATATGATATCTCAATACCAGTATATACATTATATGTCTAACAACGACATAACATGATATAACATGTCCCTTGAGTGCAACTAACGTACTCCCAAATAGCTCGCACCTGCGTTGTTTTCATCATTTTAAACATATTGCTAATTAACTTACACCAAAGAGTATTGACTATCAGAGATGAAGTGGAGGTAGTTGCAATGATGGATTTTCTTACTGATATAGTTCTTAAATAATTGTTCGATAGTGGGGCCCTATTTAAAGGCTTCATTGTATTTGAATTGTATGCAATTATTTATCCTACTGACACACTGGGGATGACAGGTGCATGTATAAAGCCAGACGGTTGGTGCATGTTCTGTTAACTGATGTTATTGTTGCAGATCCATCCAAACGTTTTGTAAAAGCCAGACGAATGTAAGCCTAATTCATTAGCTTTTCAAAATGATAGTTAGTATTCCTTTGTGCCTCAGATTGTGGTCTTAAACATTGGATGTCTCGTGTACCAGTTGATACCTCGGTATCCGGGCCTCATCACCCACGGCATTGAACATCGAAGCAAGACTTGGTTTCTCAAGAACAGGTGATGATTAAGGAAAGAGATGTAAAAAGGATTTACAATTTCCTTGACAGTGTCTCAAATGTTTCTGTATAAAAAAGAAACAGTGACGAGAGGCAGTTTTCTCTTCGTGGTTCTGACCACAACAAACAACATGCGCACGTGTGATTACCATAGCAATACCTTCATTTTCGTAGTAGTAATTAAGTAATACCAGACGTGTGGTATTATAAGTAAAAGTAGCAGCCGTGTCACGGGAACAGTCATCGGTTAGTGCTGATTATGGAATAGTTCCTGCAAATCCAGGTTTGAAAATCGAAGGATAATTGTAAAATTAGATTCTGGAACATCTTGAAGGACCCTTCTTCCAAGTGTGTCAAATATGACATTTTTACGATCCCAGAGTGTTCCAACTTCAAATTCCGTTCGGTTTTTAGTCCTGTACGGGTTGTCAATCGTTTAATGTTCCTAGAAATATCCCCATCCTGCACAATTGAATGAAAAAAAATACAGAATGAAGAAAATAAATCTTCAGATGTCAGAGAATCGTTCGACATCCACGTGGTCGTCTTGAAAGGAGAATAGAGTCTGGGCCTAAAACGCTTATTAATATGATGTTTTTTACAAACGATGAGCGACGGTCTTGTTTTTTGTATTCACGGTTTTACAACACCTTTTATGTCAGCATTACACAATATATACTGAACAAATCTATTTTGGGATCGTGAATATTTTTCAGGATATATTTATCAGTTGTTTTCACAGCAGAAGAATATCTCTCAAAGTATTGATGTTCCGTTTTTCAGCAAATGCGAAACGTCAACGCCAGAGAATAATCACTCTTGTCCAGAGCATCTTTTTTAAAAAAGATTCCACTGGTCGTAAAAAGTAAAACAGCGGTGAAAATTATATGCATGGATCACTGAAACTCAGGTGTTCTTTGAAACTTAACTAAACATCAACATTTCTACTGTACTAAACATCAACATTTCTACTTACTAAACATCAACATTTCTACTGTACTAAACATCAACATTTCTACTTACTAAACATCAACATTTCTACTGTACTAAACATCAACATTTCTACTTACTAAACATCAACATTTCTACTGTACTAAACATCAACATTTCTACTCTACCAAACATCAACATTTCTACTGTACTAAACATCAACATTTCTACTCTACCAAACATCAACATTTCTACTTACTTAACATCAACATTTCTACTGTACTAAACATCAACATTTCTACTGTACAAATCCATAACATCAACTTTTCTAATCTACCGTACAACTTAAAAAAATAAACATTTCTTTTCGATATCTGATTGGATGCTCTAACTGCCCCCTTCATCAAATGTTGTAATTGTTGATTTATACATCTCTCTCACTGAAGTAAAAATAACATTTCTTAGGAGGCAATTACCGCAAATAGACGAATCGTCTTTGAATTGCTTATAACAAAGAACGGTCAGGTATTTCGCGTCAAATAATACCTACGGATTTACCCAGTGAGCCTCCAAAATTGTTACAGGATGTAGGGTATCTCATCTATTGACACGTGACATAGTTAACCAATCAGATAAAGAGAGTTTTCATAACGAGGTTACTGATGGAGCCCAGGGCTTCCACTGCGCGCCCACTGAAGCTCAGCCATTGTGCCGGATTTGCACATAACCCTTCATAGAACCATTAGTACTAATGTACCCCCTAACGTCGTTAGCGGTGTTCAATGTCTATAAATGCCAAGCTTACACCAACATTCCGACAGGAAGGTTTTTTGCACTCTGTCGGTGATTTAGGAATAGATCATCGCTAGCTTAAGGCGGCACCCGTCTACACCGTCTGAGACCAAAACACAACCCAAGGGATTTATTTTACTTTCATTTTAATCTTTTTTTGCTTGGAAATAAATTAGATCGATTAAATAAACAGAGTCAAATGACTTGAAGGTCTTCAACAGAGAAAGGGCATTATAAAGTATCCAATGCTTCAAGACGTTTTACGATTCTAAAGGTGATTATTGCTAAATTCGTTCACCATTTCACTTCGGTGTTAAACTAGCACTGAGTACTCAACCACCGCCTCCGAGAAGACACAGGTGCAGCCCACCTGCCCACGACACGATCTATAATTACTGTATGAAACTGGCTTCAAATAAGGTTACATTTTATATACTTATCAATATAACACAGGCTTAAAACAAGTACTATACATACAACAACCAATACACTGTCAAA